CGACAAGCTCATCGTCTCCTTATCATATCACTAAGAACGTTGATTGCTCCCATTTGCTTATACTCTCCAATTGATCTTTCAACCAATGTTCTCAACACTATTTGACTAATTTCTTCGTTCCCGATCGCAGTTATTTCACACAATGTATTTCGAACAACGCCATTCGTGACTTGGTCCTCTCTTAACAAGTCTGCCAACGCATTGATGACACTGATCTTCGTCTCCGTTTTCGCGTTGACCACCACGTTTTTGATCTCTTCGGTCTTCTCGCAATGTAACATCCACACAACCCCAATCAATGCGGGAATGCGATCAAATACTTCACATGATTCGTCATCATCATCACCCTTCAATATCTCTCCATCTTCTTTTGGCATCATCTTCAGTATAGTATCAAAGTAGTCTCTGACATTCTCTTCATTGGCACTGACACTAAGAATGGGTAATCTTAAAGACAATGCTCGATATGGGATATTAGTCGCAAGTAACAACCCAAAGTGATACAAAAAGAGCGAGAAGCATTCTCGAATTTGTAACACGCACACCTCCGCCGCAGTTATCAGTTGCTTCGTCGCCGTTGTATTCACAAACAAAAACGGTTGCAAGAACTGGAGGAACTTATTAAACAATTCAAAGTACATTGCAATTTGTGTTTTGTTCTGTGGCGCCTTCGCCAAGTCATACAACAAGCTTCTATGTGAAAACAGTTCGAGCCATTGACATGAAAATTTGGGGAAATTGGAGGGGTGGAGTCGTTGAAAAGCTTTCAAAATGTGTTGCACTGACATTATAGTATTGATACCATCCACTATCTTCTCTACTGACATCTCAAGGAATGATTCTATAACATTCTTAAAAGCTTCCGGGTTGAATGTCTTAGAAGTATACTCCTTCTCAAATAAACTGCACGTCTTTTTAAAGATGTCTGACAAGTGATTGATGACCATCTGTTGATCATTCTTGTGCGCTAAGAACATCATCCCAAGTATTTGCATCGCACGCACTGAAGCTTCTTTACTCCCAACTATCACACACTCTTCAATAATCCTATTAATCGAGTTGGTTGTCATCTCTTCCGTGAGTAACCCAATGTACTTCTCAACAACATCTAAGTGAATTGGCGCATTCAGCATTTTGGCAAAGTGGACGTCCAAGTGTTCAGTGACTTCTCGTGACACTTTGTCGGCGTACAATTCCATTTGGTATTTGGTCACTCCACCCGGCGCTATTAAAAGTTCAACAGGAAGTGGTGGCCCTTCCTTTAAATACTCATACCCAGGCGCAACAAAGTCTTGTCCTTGTCCCTTTCCATTTTGTTGTCTTACAGCAGATATATTACTCACAAACTGTTCTATAATTCGCTTCGCCATCTTCTTCATCTCATCAAGTTTGACTTGCACAGCGTGCTCTACACACTTCTGAAGGTTGTTAATTAAACTTTCTTTGACTTGTTCCAACGTAACGGTGGGCTCTTCTTGTTGCTTCAAAGCACATTTAACAGAAAAGGCCAAGTACTTCCACAGTATAGACACTATACAACTCCTACAAGTGTAATACAACAGTTTCTGCATGATACCAAATACGCGCTCGGCAGCTTCCGCTATTTTAACAACATCAGTTTCCATCGCAAAATCCTTTTGCACGATTTGTGTGACGGTTCTCATGATCGCATTCAAGCTGTCCACTGCCGTCTTCGAGTTGTCTTGAATCGAAAAGTCCAAGTAAACGTCCACCATCAATTTCCAGTGTTCTTCAAGAAAAGAGTTGCATATTAAAACGTCTGGAATATCATAGTCGATACCCTGTGTTAATCCACTAAAGCACAACGACCTCTCCGACAAGAGATATTGATTTAATAATGCCAGTGGTACCAATTTCTTTGCATCAATATACTCTCCCAGTATGCCACCATCGCCATTACTCTTTTCTTTAACTAATCGAGCTAATTTCCTTATCGTCTTTTCATTCTCTGGCGTGTTCCCTTTCTCTTCTAAGTACTCTTTGGGAGATACTTTCAACATCGTCAGAAACCGTTTCGCTTCTTCAAAATGAGACCCAAACTCGGGATAAATGGCAAACGCACACACTAATTGAATGAATGGTACCATCCACGGATTGTTGCTATTAAAAATCTCAGACTGTGCCGACGCAGACAAAAATCGAATCAAAAATGTGATCAAGACGTCCGTGTTGTCCGCAGTCGTCTCGTCGCGAATCATATTTTTTAACATCAATCGGTTGGTCCTCAACGGCTTGTTTAACCCCAACGTGAGTAACCCTAAAAACGACCCTAACGCTTCAAACAGTGAGCAATCTTGTTGGTCGTACTCCTTCTGTCGTTTAAAGATCTTGACCGACTCTACAGCAAACGTACACAGGTGTTCTGTTGTTCCAATCAGATCAAGTGATACTTTAATACACTGTCTTTGTCTTTCTTCGTACATCAACCCCGTCATAAACAGTGCTATTTCAATCAACATCTTCTTGTGGACTTGTTGTGATCCCCCAATCGTTGCAAAAGTCTCTTCTGAGACGGTTTCGACGTCTCCAGTCGACATCTCAGACTTCTCCTCAAAACTATGACAGAGGGCCTTGATGATCGAGATGTTCTTCGGATCAAGCCACATCTGGAAATTAATCGATACAAACAACTTGTTGATCAATTTCATCACCAACGTAAATTTATTCTTCGCAGAGGTGGCGATGACCGCGTACAAGTCTTTATCAAAGATCTCCAGGTTCTTCGCATTCTTGAGTAAGTAACAATAAGCAGGCCACTCCGGGAGTCTTTCTTGGAAGATTTTAAGTGCTGCAGATCCGCATTTAAAGAAGTTGGATTCAATCGGTTCGTTCACCGTCCACAAGATGGTCCGCAATAAATGGATCAACGCACAATTCCTAAGTACTTTTTTCCTGATGATTTCACCATACAATTTACCAAATCGAATCACAGTCTCCGGTTTACTAAATTCGTTGACTCGTCGAAATTCCTCAAGTAGCGTTTTGAAGATTATAATCATCAAATCGTTCTCTTGGGTATCGGTACTCTCTTTGTATTTAATAATTTTAATAACAAAATCTTCCACTGTAATTTTACCATCAAAGTAATACGTGAACATATCATTTGCTCGCTTCGACGCATTCCTCTCATTCTCTTTAAAGTTGCTCTTTGCTAAAAATTGTTGCTCGACTTCTTGGGCTTCTTTTTGTAGCCCCAAATTACTGGAAAACACGAGAAGCTTTCGTGTGATAGCTAAGTCAAGTCGATACGGCGAAACATTTTTATTCATCAGGTATTTGTCCTTCACAAAATTAATAATCTCCTTCCCAAACAAGTTTCTGATTTTCGACTGCTCACCAGCCCACTTGTCCATATTCAAAACATCTCTTTTGCACAACAAACAAGCAACGTCCAACGAAAAGAAGACGGGGCGGATTTGTGTCAATTCCTTAGCAGCTTCCGTGGGTGGGAGAAGATTAATAATATCTTCTACACAGCTCGGATTGTCCAAATAACAGTCTCTCATCCCTTGGGTGAGAATAATTTTGTAATTCTTCCACAAACTTTGAACCAACTGCGTCGACCGCGTACACCCTTTCATCATCACAAACACACTCTTTTGCCTCATCGAACTGTTTTTCATTTTGCACAAAACAGGCAACAGAAAATCGGGCTGATACAGACACGCCTCAAACTCAGACGACGAACTCTCGCACACCTCAGTCACTCTGTCGACAAACCCTAGTTGTTCCCAAAGAGTCTTTACACCTCTTTGAGTCCCTACATTATACAACCCACACATCGTTTTCATAATAAACTGTCCTTCCGCATTTGGTGATGATGCCATTTGTATTAACATTTGTATAATACTTCCCTGTGCTCGTCCATTCACCCAATTCTCTATAAACATTTTCTGCCCTGGAAATTCCCCAATTTTTGTGTATATCCGAACCATAAAGGAAATCGCCTCAATACTCTTAAATATGTATTTGGCATCGTCTATGATACTGGGAAGATCTTCACATGCCTCCCCACGTGACTGAATAACCGACCCCACTATTTCATCATCCCACAAACATTTGGTCTCTTTCTCTTGCTCTTCAATGTTCTTCATCATCAAGAAGACAAGCTTCCCACAGACTTTATCCTTCTTCCCAAACGTGTTATCCAGTAACGTCGAGAACGTTTCAACAGACCCGGCACATGACGGCCCCATTTCTATGATGAAATCCGGGGGCAATGGAATATTGACTGGAGACAGTGTTGATGATACCGTTGTATTTGAAAAGAGTGAGAAAACGGGAAGAGAGGGTGTTGTGATATCATTGGGGTCTGCATTTGTTTTGATCTTCAGTGGCTTTTCGGAGAGTTGTACAAAGAGTTCTTCCTTTGTCAAGTCTTCGTTGTTTTGGTTGACTCCAAATAGAAATTCGCAATGTGGGGGAAGAGCGAGCGACTTGATTGTTTGAATGGGTAGAGCGAGCGATGACAAGCATTTTCTAATTTGCAAGACCAAATTTGAAGTTGACAATTTCGTCAGCTCGTCCTTCAAAACTTGGAGTTTATACCCTTTAGAAGTGTCTTGAACGACGTCCATTGTTAAGAATTTAATAGTGTTAATTTGAGAAGAAACTCCCGTTTGTTTAACAAGAGTGGAAAGTTCTTGTTGCGCCTGTTTGACGTTTTTCTTTGTCAAAGAGCCTAAGACTGAGTTTATCTCTGATAAACAGGCCTGCATTTGATTTTAAAGTCCTTAGGTTTTTTTTTCGAGTTTTGAGTCTGAGGTGTGTTTTCTTGTTCCCGATTTTTATTCCCTTCTCATTCAATTAATTGGGCATTTTTATAGATTTTAACTCTTTTATCTTTTTGGTCTTTTCACATCAAATTTGCTTTCTCATTTTTGTGGGTCTTCATCTGTTTCTCTCTTCCTTTCAAAACTATCCTTTTATAATACTTTTATAATACTATAATGATTTATCTATTACTTATGAGATTCATATAAATTTGCTTATAAATTGGGTTTTGTGGTGAACATAAAAAATCCTTCAAGGGAGAAAGGTTAGAAGAAAAAAAGAAAGTGAAAGAACCAGATTGAACTATAATATTATTAAAATATAATATTATAAAACTATATGAGTGTTTACAGGAACAAAAGTATAAGAACTGATCTAATCTCTTAATAAATACCTCAAAGAAGAACTATTAAATATTGGTTTCAAGTTAGTTAAAATACAAACAAAGATATACCATAATTATTGTTGTTCAGAATCACTCTCTGAGTCTCCCAAGTATTGCGCCATTATCAAAGCAGCCTCTTCAGCATATTTTCGTCGCTCTTCATTGGTTTTGGCAGTTGATGCTTTTTGTTTGTATTGAACGAGTTTCATTAATATCATTTCAAAGTTATCATTTTCAATTTTATTCTGTTGGGAATCACTTGAAAGAGGACTCTTCTTGTCTTCTACTGTTTCAGGAACAACTTTCTCTTCTTTCTGGGTCGAGTCTGGTTGTGTGTTGTAAGACCAAGGACTATTCACTATAGCCTCAGCTATTCTGTCAATACCCTCCGCATTGCTCTCGTCGCCTACATCTTGTCGGTTGACATATTCAATTGAATTGTCAATACACCAATCAAACTGCTTACCATCACCTATAACCAAACACAACTCACTGTTACAAAAGTTTTTAATACTCTCAAATCGTGCAGTAGTCTCATCACAAACATATCCGCCCCATTCATTTCCTTTCCCATTTGGTATTCCAGACATCGGAACAAGTTCGAGAGTTGCAGTGCCATACTTCGAGTGTAAAGTATATAAATATGGCGATGTTGCGGTCACTTTCGTTGTAAATGCACGAATGGGCTCACTTTGGAGTCTCCCGTTGTGAATCCGAGTTTCTAAAATTTTAATAATCTGTTCAAACTCACCTGGTTTGACGTCGATAAAAGCAACTTTATTCGTTACACTTAACATCTTTTTCTTTGGTTTTTTATAGTTCAAAACCTTAACAAAAAAACAAGAGTTTTTGATGCACCAATTGTATTTAATAATTTCTATTATAACAAAACTATTATATTATATCGGTTGTTAAATTTTGAAACAACCATTTTTTATAAGTAATTCAAATAATATTTCTACCGATAAACTACTCTTCGAAGATCTTTAAATAACACATTACTAATTTATTAATTATAATTATATAGTTAAACAATACAACAAATAATGACAGATTTTATTTCGAACTTGTTTTTCTGGTAATTCTCAGTCGATTTTGTTATTACAGTGTTATTCACCGGGTTTTCGATTCCCACCATTTTCAATAATTATTAAGTCAGTTTATTAATTATTTAGTCAAAAAAATAAATTATTTCGTCACATATTTTAATTAAACACCACCTACAATTATTAGTCCAGCATAAATGATAAATAGATCATTCAAAAAAATATTAATACCATCACAAATAATTTCAATATTATAATTTTTATATTTCATTCACAAAAATAAATAGACGCACCACAAACTTATATGTTCACGTCATTTAGAATTATTAAGGTTTTATCTGAATTATTTCACTTTCAACAAAAAAATAAAAACCAACATTAAAACTATAAAAAACAATGAACCGAGCATCAGCCGATTATGTTGATCTCACAGATCCAGGTTCACGGGCTGACTATATACAGTCGGAGCCTACACCTCTAATGGGTCATCTGCTTCAATCATTTGCAACCCAACCATTCATCCCGCCTTCAATACAACCAAATCAAAGAGGAAGACCAAAGAGATTTGTGACAGAACATTCAGAACACCGAAAGCACCAATACACCAAAATTTGTTTGAAGCTCAAGCAATTGTTTGTTGAAGAGTCTGGGAAGAAATCTGACCAGAAACCTGAAGATTTTTCACAGATAATTGGAATACCTATTCACAACTGCCCACTTTGTTGAGGAAAGGGGAAAGTATATATCCTTTGAACCATTACAACCGCAAAAATTGCATTACTCCTTTCATTCACCTTGTTAAGCAGCATCTCAAAAATTTGGCGACATCTTCCATTGAGAAAACCAGAAAGTTTCGAAGAGTTGAAAGTACATGAAGTTAATGCTACAATGCAAAGATGTAGAAATGAAGTTTGGAGAAAAGTGTATGCTCGAGAGGATCTTTAAACAAATTTCACTTTAATTATTTTTTATAATATTTTATAAAGAAATAATATTTTTTGGTTTAAATATTTTTATTTTTTTGTTGAAAGTGAAATAATTCAGATAAAACCTTAATAATTCTAAATGACGTGAACATATAAGTTTGTGGTGCGTCTATTTATTTTTGTGAATGAAATATAAAAATTATAATATTGAAATTATTTGTGATGGTATTAATATTTTTTTGAATGATCTATTTATCATTTATGCTGGACTAATAATTGTAGGTGGTGTTTAATTAAAATATGTGACGAAATAATTTATTTTTTTGACTAAATAATTAATAAACTGACTTAATAATTATTGAAAATGGTGGGAATCGAAAACCCGGTGAATAACACTGTAAATGTAATTAATAAAAATAGAATAATACTAATCCCGTAATTATTTTGATAATTATCCCAAAACAATTTGATCGAACCTAATTGATTTTGGTTTTTGATGATGAATATTTCCTCAAAAACTACTGCAAGACGTTTTTGTTCATCTATACATTCCATTTTTACGTTCTCCATTTAACAATAAATTATAATATAAATTACTATATATTATAATAAATAAGTCCTCTTTATGGTGAGGAATCAAACTGATTAAATCAAAATCCATGCGACGTAACATTGACGACGACATTGATCTTTCGTTTCTGAAGACCCCAAAGGAAAAAACAAAATTTCAGAAATACAACGACGACGCGGAAAAGCTTTTAAACCAAATGGAAAGGTGTAAAGTGTGGACGGACATTCTTCAGATGATACAGAACTTCACAAAGTTAGTCAATAACAACAAAAACTTCCCTGTTGTTCCAACCAAGCAAGTTTTCATGCGACGAATGGCCCAAGCGCTTGACCCTCAAATACCGTCTGGAGTACACAATCAAGTCTTAGACCTCTTCAATTTACTCTTCGAAAGAATAGGAAACGATAGATTGGAAGCAGATCTATGGTGCTTCACGCCCGGACTCTTTCCATTAATCCGAAGTGGGTCAACAGAAGTTAGAGTGAAGATATTAGATTTAATTAAAGACAAACTATTAACAATCATAGGATCTGTCCAAGCGGTGCAGAAGTCGTTTTTAATTTCTGTTGTTGTTGGTGTTGAAGAAAACACTGGGGGAATTAAAGAGAAGACAATTACTATCATGGACTCCTTGAAAACTATCAACGAAAAGTTCTTTTGGGAAACATGTTGGGAAATATTAAGAGCTAATGCCGTGACACGAAAACCAATGATGACGTATATGAACCTCAAACTCGATACCCCTCTCGCGACGAATCAAATACCGAACCAGTCATTGTTGTTTTACTCTGTTATGAACGTCCTCTCTGACGACAAACAACTTGTGCTTAGAGATATGTTGGATGTTTTGTGCACCAAATTACGACTTGACTCTGGAGTATTTTCTGATGAGCAATATGTCCAAATTGTTGAAAGAATGCTGTTGCTCTTAATTAAAAAAGACTCTGCGCTCTCCAGAAGAGTCAACTTCTATTTACTTGGAATGGACTCTAAGAGCCAAGACACGGAGAAAAATACATTGGTTGAATTTTTCAATAAATACACAGCCAAAGTTATTGAAAAGGCTATTGGAGAGATGTTCGCGTTTTTAAAGAAAGAGCGGACAAATGATATAGTCTTGATATGTGAAGAGTTATTAGGAAAACAGTGTATAGCCGAGCACATATTCAAAACAGTCATTGGGTCGATGTTGGAGTTATTACAATTGTCACAAGAGGAAAACCGAAGAGAAGATGGTGAAAAGGTCATCGAGTTTCTTACCAACGTCGAGTGTACAATTCTCTTTGATTTTGTCTTGGAAATACTTAAAAACAAAGTGGTTAGGTATGGCGTTAAAAGAACGTTTTCTTTCATCACAACATACAAAGGCGATGCAAATAAGATGGAAAAGTTCTCTGATTTTTGCATGCAAGTGCTGATGACGTCTTTGGAGAAACTTGACAATTTGATTAAGACGAACTCGCCAATAAAGGAGTTGAGCGAGTGCTTTGAGTTGATTGAATTTTGTCTTCGAGAGAGAAAGAGTGAAATAGAGGAGAAATGTGCAGAGGTATTAAACATCACCATGTCTGTGGATAAAGTCTTTACGCTATTTATCAAAGAGACTGTTATAACAGACACCATATTCCCACAACCAAAGCAAGAACTGTTTGATAGATTCTGCACTATAGTTAGAATGCTGCATGCTGAAATAACGCCGTTCAAGAAATATCAATACAGTGAACAGAACGATGACGTGAATGAAGAAGAAGCTGAAAAGATGGGAATAACATCTGTTGAGATGTTGATGAGGAAAGAGGTCAAGCAGAATGAATGGATTGAACAACTGAAAACCCTTGTACTCACACATAAATTACCAGTTGTGCAAGTTAAAGCTGCCAAATGCTTCTATGAGATATGGAAGAAGGAAGAGAGAGTCCCACTCAACATGGACGAAGAGGAATTTGTACTGAAAATGTTTACGATCTTGTTGGACGCCCTCGACGAAGAGAATTCAAGTGTGTTGACCGATATAGTTTTGATACTTCACACCGTCGGGTCTGCACACAAAGAACTCACTTACAAATTTTTGAGCTCGACACTTGAAGACGGAGATGAAGACAAACTTCTCAAGTATACACTCTTCTGGAAGAATTCGAGTGTTTTGGGATATGACATACAAACATCCGTCTTCAATCGTGGGTTACTTTTATTCTTGAGGCAATGCGTGCATAAAGTACAAGACCCGTTTTACCTTGAGTTCTTACAAACGACCTTAAATGCGAATATGATGGATAGAATGATATACCCAATTTTAATCCCCATGTTGACTCCCGTCAAGAAAAGAAGTGAAAACGTTTTTGGGTTTGTCTGTGATGACCAATTGTGTCTTATGCATCTGAGTATTTTAGACACCCTTTTTGGATTCTCAAATGTCAAAATCGTCGAGGCGCTACATCAACTTAATATCCCATTTTACTTGAACGGATTGTTGAAGGAAATAAACCCAACATTTGAACAAATGAAAGAGCCTTCAAATATGTTGGACTTTGTGGTGTACACTTTGTTGATATACTTGAAAGGGAACAAAGAAGTCATTGGCACCGAGAAAGTGTTTCCATTCCAGTCACAAGCGACGGACGTCTTACTCACTTTATTCACTGTATACAATGAAAACCAATTAGTTATCAATGAGAGTGTTGAAGTGCAATACACATTGTTACTCTCTTTTGCTGAGAGTATTACAACTTCCCCAAAACTCCAATTACACTTAATGTCGTTAATTAAAACTGTGATGAAGATGTGTGATGCGAACGAACCTGAAAAGTGCATCACTCGATTCACGTTGTTTTTACAAACGATCATCAGCGGAATTTGCCAAGAAAGGTGTGTGTACAGAACACATTTTGTCCGTCTTATCGAAGAGTCTTTGTTGTTCTTCCCAACAAAAGATTTCAAGACCACTTCCGTCTTGTTGATCCAAGCAATTTCTAATGTTATCTCGCAGACGTCGTGTTTCTCGGAACACTCGTTGTCACTCAATGAAGAAATAGAACCACTTGTATATTTACAGAAGAAGTTGTACGAGTTCAGTCTTCAACTTTTCCCGTATAAGTCACCACTTGAAAACGCGGAGCAGAATCAGTCGCAACGCACAAGTGCGGGACAACAAATAGGAAACGCGATGTTGTTTATTCCAATGTTGTTTGTCTCGGTGATTACAGACACCGTGAAAGGAGGCAAAGATAAGAAGATGAATAGTCTCGAGCCACACTTTTTGACGGCGACACTGAAGAGGACGATTGTTGCATTCCTCGATATGTTCTGCGCTGTTGGGAAGGTCAGCAATACCCTCCCATTACAGAGCAACATTATCTCATTCTTGGAAGTACTTTTTGTGACATTTCCATTGGATTTCATGGGCGAGTATTTGCTCACATTTTCAAGTCAGGCTTTCCCTGCACAACACTCGATTGTGTTCAGGTCTTTTAAACCGGAAAATTTGGTATCGGTGTTGTGGTCTGCGTTGATACTAAGCCAAGGCGATTTGTATGAAGACATTCAGCCACAGCGTATTTTCGAGTTTATCCAATTCTTCATTCAGACGGTATTAACACCAAATGAAGTGTTTAAGATGCAGATGTACATTCAATCACTTATCGACACTCATGTCAATGACGAAAGGCTGACCATTACGTCTGTTCACACGCTGAAGTTGTTCATTGAAACATTACAACAGAACGAGCCAAAAGCGCCGTTAAAATTGGCTAATGGATGGCCAGAAATCATTTTGAATGTTGTCAAAAGCTATATGGGGATTGTCCAGAAATGGAGAGTTGATGGGAGTGCTTTCAAGCTACGAACAAGACAGAAGAGTACAACATCGCAAATCACTGTTTCTCCAACACCGACGTCTGGAGCAGCGTCGAGTGTACCATCGAACCCAAAAGTGTCACAGTCATCTTCGGAAGATCACAGTTCATTATCAAATGTCAATTTGAGTGATAACACAATGACCATTTCTGCGGACATTTTAGATGTTGTAACAAGTGATATCATACCGATTTTAGTTTCTGTGTTTGACGAAAACTTGTTGAGTACATACATCGACTTAGGCAAACAGTACGAGCACGTTTTAGCACAACCGGTTGCGGATATGGGTCTGAACGTGGCTTGTGTGAATGTGTTGTGTGAGTTGGCGAGTCGAAACCAATTAATAGGTCGATGGAACAAATTAGTGATTAACACGTTTTTGAGTGACGACTTCTTCAATAAGTCCCCTGCACTTTTGAACAAGTGGAAGTTACCGATATTCAATGCATTGACTTCAAATGCCATGAAAGGGCTACAGGATATCTCCAACTCTATTGTGAACAGACAGTTGTTTGCGAGTAAAGAGAGTGAAGCAAACTCAAGAGCAAAGAATTTGAAGAGAATTGCATTTTTGATATTCAGCGGAGAGAATGACGTTGTCGACGGTCTTATGGATCAAAATCCTAATTTGCTTGATTCGATCTTGGACGGGCTTGTCGACTGTATTAAACAGTATCCCGTGTCTGTGATTTATGTCAACGGGTTTTTGTTGCTGCGTGTGATGTTCATAAAGTGTTCCTTCACGAAATTGAAGAAGAAGATTCCGACGATATTGAACGAGTTGATAACTATTTTTAATATGCCATTTGAAAAGGACGCGATGACTGTTTTAAGCGGGTTACAGTTGTATGATATGCTCCAGACTATTCCAGAGTGCTTGACAGATTCATATAGTTGGATATTTTTCCCACCACATTCATTTGAGGGTATCACTCCATCGAAGAAGATCACCCCACTCATCCCAATACTTGCATTAAATGGAAATGGAAGTGGCGATGTCAAAGAACCAGACACATCATATAGTGGTTTAAAAGAGAAGAGAGAACTCATTTTTAAGGAAAAGAAGACTTTGGACGCTCAGGAGTTCCAACAACTCAGAACAAAGCTTCAATTTTATACAAGAGACTCTTTCAATATGACTTCAAGGTCTGATCAATGTGATATTGCTTCAGTACTCAGCGACTTGTTAGAAGCATTTGCTGAGAAGTAAACCATTTTATTAGTTTTTGTTTTAATTGCTATTTGATATCAAGTTCAAATAATATTTGACAAATATAACTGTTTTAATCATCATTATAATATTTATTTATAATTAATTACTATCCAAATTGGTAATGTTTGAATTAATAAAATAGTAATTATTTATTTGGTAATTTATTAGTAAAAATATTTTGTTATTATTATTTATGAACTATTGATTTTTTTAGTTGTTTGTTTCTTCATCTATTTTTGTTGTTGTATTAAAAAAATGATATTTTGTCCTCTATTATTATTGTATAATAATAATTTATTATATTTTATTAATAGTATATTATTTACAAAAAGAAAAATTGAAACAATCCCCCTTTTTGAGCAAATGTCAAAACGATTGATTGTTTTGTTATTACAAATTTATAATATTTTATTTATAATTTAACATTAAAAAAGTAATTAGTTTATAAAAAATAAAAAACATGAGTGAATTGTTATTATAATAAATAAATTAATAACTTATTAACTATAAGAAAGTCAACTTACAAGACAGAAACTATTTTTTAATTCTGTGCTTATTCCCACAATTTTGTGTTTCAAATTATTAACCTCCACCACAAGTCAAAAACAAGACCAAAAGTATTTGAAAGAAAAGTACCACAAATTACTTTACGAAAGTTGTTTGACTTTACTGCTTTGAACAATAGACCAGAAAATTATGAAGGTATATAAAGTGGGACAAACTCATATAACACAAAGACTAATGCCTTTGTCGTTAAAGCAATCCAATTATGGACAGTTGCTTAAACACTTGAAAGAGCGCAACATCAGCAATTCATTTGTTCGGAAGTTAAATGACAAAGACGAAGAGGAGATACGTAAGAAGGTAGTTAGTGCACTACAAAAAGGGAAGAAAATTAAAGAGAACAAAGTTGCACAGATCATGCAACTTGTCTTTTGTATATTAAAAAAAGACACAAACAGAGAGTTAATCACTTTGATGGAGGAGAACAAAGTGACTCTTTCGACATTGAATTGCATCCCCAAAAAGTCAACGATAGTCAAACAGTTTTCCACGATCCTTGAAGTGTTTTATACTATAAAAAGAGATTACAACAATGTTGACTCTAATGTGTTTGACACAATTAACACTAATTCGGAAATTCTGAGTTATTTCACTTCTATTGTAAAGTGCTGGAAAATGATTTCAAAAGTCGCATTCAACAACAAAAAATACACTAATGAGGAACTTGGTGTGTTACAAATTCTGTATTACGAACAGTGTAGATTCTATTGTAAGACGTCAGACTGTATCATCAAGTTGACACCTTTGGTCCCTACCTTTGACATCCTTGAAACACAAACACTCAAACAAAACGTGTCAATGGTCGACGACTTGAAGTATGAGTTACTCAATGCTAATAAAGACGAAATAGTAAGAGAGCGATATGGGACATTACCACCACAAAGCTATTATCAGTTGAGTCCATTGACCTCATTTTTAAAGCAACGCGCAGAGAAGAAGATGATGGGTATCGAGTGTAAAATGACGGAAGACGAAATCGTGAACTACGCTCACCAGACGTCTTCCAACTTCCTGCAAAACAACAACAAAATCAATTTGTTCATCTCAAGAAAGTACCAACCGATATATTATCTCCAACAACTCGCGTTACTTCACAAGAACAATGCAAAGGATTCCAGTGCTATTGTTGATGAGTTATTCTAATTATTTTTATAGTTCTGGTTATTATATTTTTACAAAAAAAATATGGTATAATTTATAGTATTTTTATTATATCAAACTAATAAAAAGGAAGTGTCTGTATTATTACGCTTGTGGGTATCTTGCCTCGAAATAAGTGTGCAAGTGCTCATGCTCGCCATGAGCATCGAAATGACTCTTAACGAACTCAAGCATATCTGTATTCTCAGTGGCCGCTTTGAACTCGGCTTTGTAATCCAAGTCATCGAGTTTGACTCGTCTCTTGTCCATCTCAGCTTTCTTTGCTGGTGGGATCTTCGGTTGTCCCGCACCACCTAGACATCCCCCAAGGCATGCCATCATTTCTATAACATCACAGTTCTTCGAAGTCAACTCTCCACTTCTTACCATATCGCACGCTTTACGAATAGCAAAACCTCCATGGCAAACTATACCATTTATTATAGTTCCTTTTATATCTACGATGACTTTGGTCATTGTGGATCCACTTGCATGCTTGTACATCTCTTCTTTTGTTATATTTACTTCATTCCATGGGACGCCCGCATTCTTTGCGATAACTCTAAAGACAGTCTCTGATACTCCTCCAGTCTTTCCAAAGATGTTTGACCCTCCAGAGATTCTTCTGAATGGTAAGTCACAAAGTCCTTCCTCCGTCTTTTCAACTTCAGCTTCTCTTGCTTCAGAAAACTTCTTGTCTTCATCTGCTAAGTGCGCCCTGAAGTAATTAGAAACTTCAACAGAAGTGACTGACGCATCATAGTCCTGATGAATTTGTGGACGCGCTGCTTCGACTTTCTTAGCAACACAAGGCATGATGCCAACGGTATACAAATTCTCTGGGTCAATTTTGACATCGTTGGCCCATCCTCTTTTAATCAAAGCCGCAAGACACCCTATTGGGGATCTTGCTGTCGACGTTTTTGGGATCAAGTCTGGGTAGTCCTTCTCGAGTAACTCAATCCAAGCCGGGCAACACCTTATCATTAGACTATGTTACTTACTACTGTACGTTCTATGTCATAACAAACGAAGTGATTGCAGGTCCAGTCTGCTTTTCTCTCATCTCCATAACCTCCGCATGATCATCAAAAGTGGTCTTATCCGCTCCATAGTCAACATCAAAGACATAGTCAAACCCAATCTTCCTCAAAGACAAGACTAATTGCGCTAAAGCAGTTGTTCCTATAGGCATACCCATACACTCGGCTACACCTAGACGAGTCGATGGCGCAATCATAGCAACCAACTTCTTCCCATTCTTTTTGGCCTCCATTATGGCATCAAAGGGGTCTAGTGGCTTGAGTGCTCCAAAGTTACACACAGAGGTACAGTGACCACAGCCGACACAGTCTGTGTCTTTCAATAATATTCTTGTTAAATCAGTGTTCTGCTGTTCTGGGTTGGGTCGAGTGGCATGGACTTGTGGTGGGGACTTTGGCTTTCCCTTCTCTAAGACGTCAAAAGTACATTTGGTCGTACAAAGCTGGCAACCAACACACTTTGACCAGTCGATACATATTGCGTCGTTGTGGTCGAGTCCTGTGACTTGGTGTGAAGGCTTTGGTGGCATTTTAATGGCTTGGGTAGTTCAAAGGCTTTTTGTATGATGGGTGAGGTGGATTATGGAAGTGTTCTTTTCAATAGAAGAGAAAATCATTGATTCAAGTCGTTGCCAAAAACAGGAATTTTGGATTAGATAAGACAACATATACTACAGGCAATAAACAGAGCTCAATTCGTATGATCGTCATATGAAAAAATACGATGATTATTGTATCATTAATTTGATTTAAATGTATTATTTCATATAGTACAAACCAATGGTTTTCTTGAATTGATGAATCATATTGAATTTCAATTCATTTCAACAGTCTAACAATATAATTCAGCGGCATAAACCAATTGATGTATTGTTAATTATATCTTTATTTAGTATTGTTGTATATCAATTTAATAATAAAACAAATTGAAAGACAGTGAACTTATGTATGGTATAATTGATATGAAAATGCAGTCCAAATAATGCTGTTTTTAATTGTATGTTGAAGTATTTAAAAGATTAAAAGAGTAATGAAATGGCCAAAAATGCAAGTTTAATCAACAAGACAAAGCAATAAAGTTATAACATGACTAAATTAAGTCTTTATAAAAACCCGAAGTTTTACATTTTTATCATAAACACATTCTTTTATTATTTTTTCTGTTGTGTCTAGATCTTCGATTGTTCTGGACAAAAAACTGAAACTTAATTGGTTTTAACCTTAGGAAGGAGGAACTGGAAAAAATAATAAAAATTATAGGATTTGAATTTACATCCACTTTTTTAATTATGAAAAAAACAGATGTTGAATAAACATAATTAACATAAAAATTAACTATTTAAAATAATTATATTTTATCAATAATATAATATAATAATTTTTGGCAAAAAAACAAAAATAACCCAACTAACTAACTAACCCAAATTGATAAAATTAATAAAGGATTCCGACTTTAATAAAGAACACGTCTTTGAACACTCAGAATGATTATTAAAAAACACTTGTTCAAACAATTGTTTTTTGTTGTTGAGACATCAACAATAAGAAAAAGCACCAACATTAAATAAAGGATTTGATGTTGGTGCTGTTATGAACACTTCCGCGCATAATGTATCAATTGAAAAGAAAAAAATAAGTATGGTTTTTATTATTTGTTGATTTTATTTTTTTGTATAAAAAGAAATAATAAATAGTATTTTCCAGTTGGTCCCAAAGGGGGATAGAAAATAAGTGGATTTGAATCAGTGTTCTTAGGTTAATTTTTTTCAATTTAAATGTGTTTTTCGAAACAATTTCTAAATTTTAAATGGTATATTAAATTAAAATATATTAGTTCTAAAAAATAATAATTATAAGACTCAAAACGAATCTATTATTTTGATTATTTTTTTGAATTAAAAAAACATTAATTATTGGGACCTACATTGACCACCACCACCACCTTTACCAAAAAAAAATATTTGCCGCGAGTGTTTTTTAAAGGAAGTCCACTTTTCAGCCACTGTTTGTGCGTCCCCATGTCACCCACTTTCCCTGTCCGTACTGTGTGGACGCGGATGTGGTTCCCCCCCCGCAAGCGGGGGGGTCAGGGGGGATCCGCGCCAAGGGAGGACTTGGAAAGTGGGTGAAACGGTCCACAAACAGACTGTTTGAGTGCGGCCTTCAGAGCCTTCTTTTCAATGCTCCGTCTCACTTGGTTTCCACTGACTTGAGGTGAATTTTCGGCATTTCTTGATTTCGGGAACCAGACTAAATATTATCCAGTTTCCTATTTACTATAATTTTAATTTAAATATGATTCGAAATAGAAAAAATAAATCTATTTTAAGAGGTGGTGGTGGTCAATGTAGTCCCTTAATTATTCTAGTTTTTTTTTTACTTGAAATTATAAGTAAGTATATAATAATAAATATAATAAGTATATTTATAAGTTTATTTAATAATTTGTATTAAATAATAATTACAATAAAACAAATGTTGAAAATTAAAACTATTAAAATATGATTTATCTAATTTATTATAGTTTAATAAAAATAGTAAATAATATATTTTTTATAGTTAAAAAAATAACAATACCAATAACTTTTATTGTTAATTCAATATAATAATTGATTATTAAGAGAAAGGATGGACATGGGGACGAAGGACGGGAATATAGGCCGAAGGACGTCCTTTGTGGTTTAGGACGTCCTCCCGCTATAAAAAACGTCCTCCTATCTATATGGTGTCCTTTCTATTATTTTCGTGTTTTTTTCATTTTTTATTCATTATCGAAACTATATAACGAAGTATATTTTTATTATAAATATACAATCAAAAAATATAATTATTTCCAAAAATAAATTAATTCAAAGACAAAAACTATTTAACAAGTAATTTTATTATATATTATTGGTTTATAAAAATTTATCATTTTTTTTTCATTTTACCATTGAGTTTTCTTTGAAAAACTAATTAAATTTGCATTTTTTATAAAAACCATTAATTTATAACGAAATTACTTGTTGTTTAAAATTTGTCTTTGATTAAATTTATTTTTGGAAATAATTATATTTCATAATAGTAAATTCATAGTAATATTATAACTCATTATATAGTTTTAAAAATGCCGCGGACACGAAAATAATAGAAAGGACATCTTATACACAGGGAGGACGTCCTTTATAGCGGGAGGACGTCCCTAAACCACAAAAGACATCTTTCGGCCTATATTTCCATCCTTATTCCCCATGTCCGTCCTTTCTCTTTATTTAATTATTTAATTATTTAATTATTTAATTATTTAATTATTTAATTATTTAATTATTTAATTATTTAATTATTTAATTATTTAATTATTTAATTATTTTAATTATTTTAATTAAAAAAACCGTCTTAGTTTTTTATTAATAATAATAATTATAAAATAATATTGATACATTATTGGAATTAGTATTATTTATAGTATATTTATATATATATTAATAACTTAATAATTGATATTATAAATAGTAGTAAATTAAATTATTCAATGTAATTAGAAATAAAATAAAATCCCATAATATGAAAACATAAAATTATAAATAAATAAGAATATCATTAAATGAAGAACTAGACCGTACGACTAGGATCATTCTTAGAGTATGTCACTTTCTATGTAACAAATAGAATTCACAAAATAGGATGAAGACTTTCATCACTTCAGTGCCAAAGGGAGATACGCAGCAATGCACGATGAACTGCTTGTTGAGGGGTCGAGTGCGTGCACAACACTCTGAGATGAGAGGCACTGAAGTCTGTCTGACTATTTTT